AGCTGCCATTTTCTCCTCCACTCGTGATCGTGAGATGCGTGATCGTGGAGGGTGGTCCTAGTGTAGGCGCTGATATCATCTTACCTAAGGGTATCCGGGTTGCTCTGCGAGCAGCGGGTGATACTTCGTATTGAAGAGCAGGATAGGGTGGGGTTGGTGCAAGGGAGCTGGGTGGGGCTGTGGGTGGGGTGGAAGCGATGATTTTGGTGGGTCCATGTGCAGGCGGTAAGCTAGGTGCGACGCACAGGATGGAATGAGGGATGAAGGAGGAGGAATGGTGAAGGGAAGAGCTTGTGAACATGAAGAAGCAGACGATGGAGGAAGGGAGTGCGAAGAGAGTGATCTGAAAGAGGAGTGCGCACACCGTGAGGAACCACAAACTTGCCATGAAGGATGTAACGGCCAGGAGAAGATCCCGAGCCAATCTTGTCAGCTCTGCTCCGTGCTAGCCTACTGCTGCTTTGTCTGCCTCAAGCCCTCAAAGAATAAAGAAAAATGCAAGGATGAGAAGCTCTGCCCAGGCGGACTACAGCACAACTCAAAGGATCAATGCATCCAGCTTCTTCAAGCAAAAGGCAACGAGATCCTCGAGACATTCCTACAGGCGAATTTGACGAAAGAAGAACTCAAGCGCTTCATACAAGAGCATAAGATGAATAGACGGGCTTGTTCGAATGGCCGAGGAGTACTTCTCACAGGAAGCAAGCGAGAGCTGATTGCTGGGATTGCCAAGGAGCTAGAACAATGCGAGCATGACTGGCCTTGTTCGGTTACTATAGTCGGTCAAGATAATGTCAGACCGATTTTCGTGCGACGCAGGCTATCTCAGGCAGAGCGAAAGCACATCTTGCAAAAGACCGACGGGTACTGCTATCTCTGTAGTCGCCCTATCGCTCCGGGATCGCTATGGGACGCGGACCATGTTCTTGCTTTCGTTCACAACCCCGAGAGGAACGACGTCGTCGGCAATATGCTCCCTGCTCATCCGAGCTGCAACCGCTCCAAGGGATGCCGCTCCCTCACCTGGTGCGCCAAGAACTTATCTATCTCCACCAAGGTGATAGAGAACATCGGCTCGAACGTCGCCACGTTCGTGAAGGACGAACTGCACGATGCACTGAAGCTGAAGCACCGGTTGAAGAAGACCTCAGACAAGACCACGGAGCAGGCTTTGATTGACGCCAAGGAGGACGAGGGCTTGATCCACGAAATCTGCGACGAGCTACAGGGGCTCGTCAAGAGGGGAATCGACATGTCAAAACAAGTCCGCTTCATTGAAGATGGTGAGGTGAAGGGGGCTCTCGTTGCGATAGTCAAGGGCGGATCCTCCAAGGTGTACAAGAGCAAGGTGACCATTGGCGGCGAGGATATCGTCTGTGCACTCAAGGATGTGCGTCAAGACCGCGAGAAACTCGAGCGAGAAGCCTACATGCTTGAGAGGTGTCGGCATGAGCATGTGGTGAAGTGCTACGGGATCATCGCGCTCAAGGGCGACATCCCCCAACAAGTCCTCGTGCTCGAGTACATCGACTTCACGTTGGCGGAAGAGGGCAGCGGCAAGGGGCCGAGCGGCCGGGAGATCTTCTGGAGGGAAGCGGTCAAGTCGGTCTCAGCTCTTGCTCGTGCCATACGACACGTGCACCGAATGCAGGTGCTCCACCGAGACATCAAGCCTGCCAACGTGCTGGTGAGCAAGCGGGGCGACGTCAAGCTTGCAGACTTCGGGGAGAGTCTCCTCTCAGACGATAGCGAGATCGCTCCCATCGTCGGAACGGAAGGCTACGTCGCACCGGAGCTGGAAAACCTCGGGGCAGTGCACAGCTGCGCCTCGGACGTGTACAGCTTTGCCAAGACGTTAGAGACCTCAGGCCTCAAGTTTCTCATCGACGTGCGGGAGGATGCCTTGTTCTTCAAAGCACTGACGGCAGAATGCACCGTACGCAATCCTGATGCGAGGTTGACAATGGATGCCGTGGTAGCCAGGCTCGAACAGTATGAGGCGGAAGAAAACAGAACCATGCAGAGCCAACCATTGAGGGGAATCAGCGTATGACCCTTGCTTCCCTTGGAGTCAAACAAACTTGCGGAGCCCGGCATTCCGTCTTCCGAAGTAAAGATAAAAAGTCTGAGGCACTGGTAAGATGATCTTAGGGTCCAAAGTTTACCCTAATCAAAAGTCTCCGGAACCACCCTGAGACTAATATTTTCAAACAAGAAGTCTCGTCATAGTTCGCTGCAGCAGCTTCAGTTGAGGTATAAGCTTGTCTGCCTAATAACAAACCTCGAGGCTTTCTCCTTGTGTCCACTCCTCCTCGGTCTCCTCCTCTCGCCCTCTGCCTAAGCTTTGAGCATTGACGAAGACTCCCCTCCTCCTGTGAGGGGCATCAGCCTCGTCATCCACATGTCACGAAAGGTCAGGTCACTTGTTCCTCGCACAGCGTCTATGCTTCCCCATCCCCCGCAGTACAGACACCCGTAGATCTCCGCTCTCTTCGCTCCCGTCCTCCTGGCTGTCAGTAGCCTGCGATCCTGCGCAACGTCGTCTGTCAGGAGGGACTTGCTTGCTTGACAGCAGCTTCACCCGAGCACCACTCTGCATCGCGACCCACGACAGGAAAACAACTATGACGGAAGAGAGGGTTTCGAGCGAAGGCCCAGTGGGAAGCTACGTAGCTGGCGAGGGAGGATGGACGCATGTCATGCCATCGACGTATGCTGCAGTTAGGATGCCTAAGTACTCTCCTCCCTGTGACTCCTTGGGCGCTACGTCTCTGCTCCACCAGCCTCGGACCAACACTGCGAGCAACCAACTCCATCCCATGTATGTCTTTATCTGCCGAGACAGCGCTGGTTAGATCAGCTCCTGCTCTACCTCTATACGGATCATTCTTATCTCGTATCCGTATGACGACATGGTCGTTACCACCAGACGCAATTTCAGAGTAACCACGGAGCTGGTAGACCACCTTGGTGCAACAAACTGTTTTGGGGTTATACCACCCCACCCCAGGTACTAGGTGGATGAAAGTACCCGTCAGTCAGCTGTACCCCAGTAGTCTCCCAGTCAGTTACTACGATTAGCAGCACAGACTTCTTGGAGGGGGGGTACGTCGTAATGGAGGGGTGAGGGTGTTAGGAGTGAGAGAGATGTGGGGTATTGGTGGGGTAATAAGAGGTAAATTAGGGGACTGATGTGAGATGGGGTATTACGAGTAGGTGGGGTTGTATGAATGCTGGGGTCCCTGGTGATAGCATGCGGACAGTTACAAGTCAGGCACGAAGGAGAACGCATGGAGAAGAGAGAAGCCTGCGAAGGAGACGGAGAGGTGAAGGAGAAGGGGAAGAAGAAGAAGAAAGATGAGGAGGAGGAAGAGGAGGAGGAGGAGAAAGATGATGATGTTGAGGAGAAGAAAGATGAGGAGGAGAAGAAGGAGGAGGAGAAGAAAGATGTGGAGGAGATGGAAGAGAAGAAAGATGACGAGGAGAAGGAGCAGGGGAAGAAGGAGGGGAAAAGCATCAAAGAAAGGAAACAAACTTGTGAATCCGAGAACGAATCTTGCCTGCTCTGCTCCGTGCTAGCCTACTGCTGCTTTGTCTGCCTCAAGCCCTCAAAGAATAAAGAAAAATGCAAGGATGAGAAGCTCTGCCCAGGCGGACTACAGCACAACTCAAAGGATCAATGCATCCACCTCCTCCAAGCAAAAGACAGATTGACCCTCGAGACATTCCTAAAGGCGAATTTGACGAAAGAAGAACTCAGGCGCTTCATACGAGAGCATAAGATGAAAAGGATGGAATGTCCGAATGGCCGAGGAGTACTTCTCACAGGAAGCAAGCGAGAGCTGATTGCTGGGATTGCCAAGGAGCTAGAACAATGCGAGCATGACTGGCCTTGTTCGGTTACTATAGTCGGTCAAGAGGATGTCAAACCGATTTTCGTGCGACGCAGGCTATCTCAGGCAGAGCGAAAGCACATCTTGCAAAAGACCGACGGGTACTGCTATCTCTGTAGTCGCCCTATCGCTCCGGGATCGCTATGGGACGCGGACCATGTTCTTGCTTTCGTTCACAACCCCGAGAGGAACGACGTCGTCGGCAACATGCTCCCTGCTCATCCGAGCTGCAACCGCTCCAAGGGATGCCGCTCCCTCACCTGGTGCGCCAAGAACTTATCTATCTCCACCAAGGTGATAGAGAACATCGGCTCGAACGTCGCCACGTTCGTGAAGGACGAACTGCACGATGCTCTGAAGCTGAAGCACCGGTTGAAGAAGACCTCAGACAAGACCACGGAGCAGGCTTTGATTGACGCCAAGGAGGACGAGGGCTTGATCCACGAAATCTGCGACGAGCTACAGGGGCTCGTCAAGAGAGGAATCGACATGTCAGAACAAGTCCGCTTCATTGAAGATGGTGAGGTGAAGGGGGCTCTCGTTGCGATAGTCAAGGGCGGATCCTCCAAGGTGTACAAGAGCAAGGTGACCATTGGCGGCGAGGATATCGTCTGTGCACTCAAGGATGTGCGTCAAGACCGCGAGAAACTCGAGCGAGAAGCCTACATGCTTGAGAGGTGTCGGCATGAGCATGTGGTGAAGTGCTACGGGATCATCGCGCTCAAGGGCGACATCCCCCAACAAGTCCTCGTGCTCGAGTACATCGACTTCACGTTGGCGGAAGAGGGCAGCGGCAAGGGGCCGAGCGGCCGGGAGATCTTCTGGAGGGAAGCGGTCAAGTCGGTCTCAGCTCTTGCTCGTGCCGTACGACACGTGCACCAAATGCAGGTGCTCCACCGAGACATCAAGCCCGCCAACGTGCTGGTGAGCAAGCAGGGCGACGTCAAGCTCGCAGACTTCGGGGAGAGTCTCCTCTCAGACGATAGCGAGATCGCTCACATCGTCGGAACGAAAGGCTACGTCGCACCGGAGCTGGAAAACCTCGGGGCAGTGCACAGCTGCGCCTCGGACGTGTACAGCTTCGCCAAGACGTTAGAGACCTCAGGCCTCAAGTTTCTCATCGACGTGCGGGAGGATGCCTTGTTCTTCAAAGCACTGACGGCAGACTGCACCGTAGACAATCCTGATGCGAGGTTGACAATGGATGCCGTGGTAGCCAGGCTCGAACAGTATGAGGCAGACAGTGTTGACCAGTAGTGTTGTCGTTTTTCTTCACGAAATAAAGGTGACTTGACCCAACTTGGCAACATCATAGTAATCAACGGTTTGCGCCGGTGCTGCCCCGGACAGTTTACGGATCCGACATATGTGAGCAGTGCCCGGCCAGTCAGATAGCGCCGAGTTACCAAAACTCTCCTGTAAACGTTTTGCAGACGAGCCTCGGAGGGCCTCCCCAGCTGTCTTGCTGAGGCTCCCTTTACAGTGTAGAGCCGTACTACGGTACAACAGAAAAACAGGGGTACTGTAGTGGGGAGGTGGTGTGTCCTTTAAAAAGGGGTCGTCGTTTAACAAAGTCATGCAGACTGCTGAAGCCTCCTTCGCAGCTTTGGATCGATCACAGGATGGCAGCCATGACATCTCTGCAGGATCATCACGTCGCTGCATTCCTTGATTGGTACCAAGGGAGTTTGAGCAGCCTTAGTGTAGAGCAAGAGAGCTAAACAAGGCGGGCCTGGCAATGATACTTTATTGAAGAAGGGCAAACCGGGCCCGGCAAACAAAGGAGGGGGAGGATAAAGCCTACCGTTGAAAACCGCCTCAATAAAATACTAGGAAACGAAGGAGGCAGCGAAAACCGCTACTCCAACACTACTCAGCTCAGTGACTGCGCGTCACTCAGTCTTCCGTAAGTTCCGCCGCCGGGGCTCACTGAGTGCCCGCCATGCCGGGATGTTCTACTAGTGACTGAGCTAGTGACTGAGCTAGTGACTGAGCTAGTGACTGAGCACTCATGACTCCGAGGCTGACCGCGTACTCTGTGACTGTGCCACGGTGAGTGAAGACAGCCGCGAGTCATTATCAGTGGGCCCGCCCCGCCGTAGATGGAAAGTGAGGGTGATGAAGTTTCGCATCTGCTCGGTGTGGACTTGGGACAAATGGGGGGTAGGGTACAATAGTGGGTGTGTAGAAGGGGTGAGGGGTACTTAAACCTGCTTTATGGTTCAGAATATAGTGCAGTCAGTGATATGTATTAAGTTCCACATATATAGAAAGAGGGTAAGGTGTCCACTATGACTCAAGAAAACAGAGTCAGAATTTGAAGGGGGGGTGGGGTGATCCTAGCTGGGTAGGGGTAGCGTGAAGCAGCGACGAGGCCATGGCTAGCACCGATATGGCAGGTAAGGAGGAGGAAGAGGACGATGACAAGGAGCGAAGATGAAGACAAGAACCAGAGAGTGAGGAAGATGAAGAGGATGAGAACAGAGAATGGCAAAGGGCTCGAGGGAGAGAAAGATCGAAAGGAGGAGGTGAAAGGGAAACGAGCGATAAGCAGCAGTAGAGGTATTGAAATGTGGAGGGCAACTAAGAGAGGAAGAGCTGAGAAAGAACAAGATGGTTTCAGTGGTGAGGCGGATAGTAATTGTGTGGATGGATCGACAAGGTCTCACCTGGCATCGCAGTGAACGCCTTGGCTGCTGTGGGCCTCTTGGTTCTTCTCAAAGGAGCGTACAACGTGCTTGCCTTCATGTACACCTCCTTCCTCCGAGGAGCGCAGAACCTGAAGAGACTCGGCTCTTGGGTTGTTGTCACGGTGCGTGATGGGAGAGCTCTGCTGCCTGCTAGGGATCTGACGGATCGCGTTCGGCCGTGGTCGGTGCAGGGAGCCACGGACGGTATCGGCAAGGCGCTGGCGATGGAGGCGGCAAAGAAGGGGATGAACGTCGTGATTATCTCCAGGACCATGAGCAAGTTGCAAGAGGTGGAGAAGGAGATCACAGAGAAGAGCAAGGTCAAGGTGATCTCGGTAAGAAAGATGATGTTTGCTCCTTGCGCTGATACTAACCACTTCTGTTCAGATCGCCTTCGACTTCTCCAGCGCCTCCTCCAACGACTATGCTTCGCTCAAGACAAAGTTGACGGGGCTCGAGGTCAGGGTTCTTCTCATTCGCATCCTCCATGGCCGGTGAAAATTGTTGTGCTGCGCAGGGTGGAATCGCCGTCCTGTACAACAATGTCGGAGTTTCTTATGAGCACGCGGAGTACTTCACGGTGCAGCTCGTTGCTTTCGATGCGCACGACCTGCTGACTGTGAGAAGGATGTGAGCGAGGAGAGGATCGCTTCGATCCTTGAAGTTAACAATGCTTCCATGCTGAAGATGACCAGAATGGTAGCATCCTCCTCTTTGACCCCTCCCCCCT